AACATTAGCGAATATATTACAACATTTATTTCGTATAGCGATTACACACTCGTTCAACATTGAGCAATCCAAAAATATATTGCTTTCTCTTTCAAACTTCACAAGAACTTTTTAAAAAACACTAATTACTGAATTTGATATCATTCCGGTTGCATAAACTACCTACTGTCACGCGGTTTCACCCGCTGCTCGGCTCCTATTGATCGGAGCGTGATGTTTCATAGCCTATAGCCTTCCTCGATAAATGGACTATCCAACACAAAAAGTATTAGTGAAGTCGAACCGGTTGTTTCGGAGATTGGCGCGTTTAAACAAACGGTAACTATTTGACGAGTTAACTAACTAGTTTTAACTGGCTAAATCATTCATGTTTTTATAATAATTATGGGCTCCCATCGTGGCCTGAAACTAGTCAAGTTACCTCATCAAACAGCTACATGAATAAGCCGTTAAACATAATTAAAAATGCATATAACATAAATGCTTGTTAATAGTTCAAATGTCCACTCATAGATGGCGTTGTACTCAAATGTAATTTCGTGAATAAATTAGTAACAATTTTCACAATGCCTTATTGGTGTAGATAATAAATTAAGTTTAATAAAATAATTCTTTTTAGACCGTATATAACATTATTTACATTCATAATGACAATGATGATTTTAAATAAATTAAACTAACTAAATGTAAGAATAACACACAACCACATTTTTTTAACCTTGCAGTTCTATATTGTTATCAAATTCAAGCCGTATAGTGACGTCATAGTAGAATACGTTCGTCACCACCCCTGCTCTTCCCGCGGGTGTCGTATACCCAGCTAAGGTATGCCAAGTAATTTAACTTTTAGTTAAGAAGTTTTGAGGAATGGAGAAAGCCTTAAGAGTCCTATTGTAACTGCAAACTAGTCGAGTTTTTCACAATTTTCGCAATTACTTTTAGTAAGCTGTTATTTCCTACCTGTCTATCCTGTGCCTTTAGCCAAACGCCACTTTAGCGCTTGTCTACAGAGAGAGTAGAAAACTAAATGTATGGGGATGACTTACGAATGTATGGGGATGACTTATGAAGCGTCAAAATTTACGCCAATTCCATATAATATGGTTTTCTATTCTACAAGTAGACAAGCGCTAAATGGCATTTGGCTACAGCTGCTGAAGTCATTGGGCTTGACCTATGTTCAGCAATGGTCCTATAGCTGAATTCATCGTATTTTAAAACGATTTTATTTAGCTCAACCCCTTCCTGACGACAGATCGTTCTGATATTTGATACACACTCTTAATCATGATGACAAACATACTATACCATGACGCCTATTATCCCCGAAGGGGTAGACAGAGGTGCACATTATCACTTAATGCCGCTGTACAATATAACACCGAATTTTCACTATTTATGTTATGAGTCCCATGTAACAGGGGGTGAGCCTATTGCCTTATACCGGGCACAATTCCAGACTCCGTGCTACTACTGAGATTATTTTTTAAATCCAGTATTACTTTGCCCTACCTGGGAATGGCGACCACTCGGCCAACGAGGCAACTAAAGTAATCTTGATGACCATACAATATAATACAATATAATCTAATTGTTTCCACGACTACCGTCACTATGAATATTAAACGTAAAGGCTTGATTAGTAGAATAGAGCTCATTAAAACCATTTAACATAAAAAAATGTTTAACATGTTACAGAAATGATATCAAACTCAGTACGGGGGGTCGTGAAACCACGAGTTGCTGAGTACCCAGCACTGATCAGTCCATTATATAAACTAGATTATATCACTTATTCTCCCTTTAGTCTTTTACTAATTTCCTCTTGTTGTAACTCGCGCCATTCCTTTTTGGGCTTCATGCGTTTTAGCTGGCCGTCCCTGTAACAAACAAAAAATAATTTTAGATACTTATTGCAATAAACTTTCTATTGGATAGATGAGTAGACTAAGTTAACATAACATCACGCCTTTTGGCAGATAGAGGTGCACATAATGCCACTGTACAATGTAACACCCACTTTTCACTATTTATGTTACGAATCCCAAGTAATAGGAGGTGAGCCTATTGCCATGTACCGGACACAATCCCAGACTCCATGCTACTACTGAGTTTTTTTTTAAAACCCAGTAATACTGTACAAAAGTCCCCAACAATACATGAGATTTAAAAAAATGAAAATATCTACGCCTGCGTTCCTGTGACACTAGAAGTAACCTATGTTTTAAGTGTGGGAGAGCCATGCTTCGGCACGAATAGGCCGGCTCGACCGGAGTGATACAACGGCCGAGCAGAAAACCGTCGTGTGAGTGAGGTTACAGGAGGCCCAATTGCCCTCCCCTTCCTCAATCTCCCCAATCCCTGAATCCCCAACGATCCTCAAACTCCTAATCCCCAAATGGCCGGTAACGCACTTGTAACGCCTCTGGTGTTCCAGTTGTCCATGGGCGACGCCGATTGCTTTCCATTTGGTGATCCGTCTGCTCGTTTACCGGCTTATGCCATAAAAAAAAAAACAGAAAAACCAAGCGGATCGTGGCTGGCGAGCTTTTTGCCCCACAGTTTTTTGTTGGGATTTTCTATACGTGTTAATTCGCATGTAAACTTCATATTATGTGCGATGTAGGGATTTTTGACGTCATCCGTTAATTTTTTGTTTTAAATAATTGATAGTCTATGTGCGTGAGCTGTCATGCTGTAATTTGACGTGTGACATATGCCGTCACATTGCTTTTTACCTCCAAATTCGCTTTTCTGAAACAGAACTTCTGGTTTATTCAAACAAGCAAAAAAGTACCCGACTTAAAACATTTACAAAAATGGTCACCCTCTTTTTGATGTCGAATAAAAATGAATCATGTTTGTGAGCCGCTTCGCGCTGTCGCGCTGCAATGCGCCTCCACGCCGCCCATATCTTTAAAAAGCCTGCAAGATTCTACATTCTACAACTGCTGGCCAGCGCGGCGATGTTGGAAGAAGCCGCTACAAATGCTCGGAAACAGTTTGATTAGTCCTGGTGAAACTTTTATAAATTTGTCAATGAATAAAATTTGTCAACACGTCGCGTCAAAACAAGTAAATGTCAACGCAAAGATAGATTCAAAGTATGCAACAGACAGGCCACTTGTATTTCGCCTTTAAATACATTTTCAATAATCACAATCACGTCCCGATGTAAATAATCACTTTAATGTACAAGTTTATCAATAATTCACTTTTTATTTAGATAGTTTAGATACCAATAAATATCTAGTTGTTTTAAAACCGTTGCTAGCCGCGGCGCCACTGACTCGCCTTGTTTTTCTTTTTTTAATCAATTTTTTTACTTATAAACTAGGCTCTGAACAATATCATGTTAGTCTACTAGTTTCAAGTCTCAGTAGTGCTGACTTCGCACTCAAAAGCTCCTCTTGTTCGAAGGCCAGTTCTTCAAACAGCCACGTTTAACCCTTGTACACTTAACAAAAGAATTTAAACTCTACTACTCAATCTTACGGTTGAAATTGCCTTTAACGTAAGTCGAAGTTGAAAAAGATTATGGTGCATTTAAAAGAAGTGTCGTTTTAGATGACACTTTAAAGTTAGCTAAACCTGATGATATATCGAGTCATTGGAATTCTATGTATATTACTAGCGGACCCAACAGACGTTAGACCTCCTGCATATCCACTTGAATGTATAAACAAAAATTCATTCAAATTAGTTCAGCTGTTTAGGATAAATAACCTAAATATTAACTGCAGCGCCATCTGCCGGGCTGATTTGTGAATCTAAAACATTCCCAGACCCCCTTGAACACACACAAAAAATTACATAAAAATCGGTACAGTCGTTTGAGAGAAGTTCAGTGACATACACACTCACAGAAGAATTATATATATATATGTTACTGTAAAAGCTCGAACTACGGTAAATCTTAAGATTTAAGTGTAAGTCTTAAGATTTACCGACATGAGTTGGTAAATGTAAGTATTTCTGAAGATACGACGATTTTTTCGAGCTTTTACCATTCGAACTCAGTATATGCTAGGTTTTACCACTGTCAGCTGGTAGATGCTAAATGGAAATCCTTAGAGAGGAGAGGAGGCCTTTGTCGAAGGACAAGCTGTAAAAGAAATACCGGTTCCCGATACAAGGATTCAACAATAAACAAATTGGAATTAAACAAAAAACATCCAAAACTTGAAACATGTAATACGAGTATCTAGACTATATTATTATTCATATTGTATACTGCAAGTTACAGCAATAAAGGCTTATTTTATTTTATTTATTTTATTGATGTTATGTATTTGTGTAAGTATTTGTTTTTTTTTTTATTTTTATACTCTGTTTGTGTGCCATGTGCCAAATAAATGCTTTTCCTTTCTTTCTCTTTCTTTCTAATTCATCAGAAAAGCGGAAACAAAGTGAAACTATGTACACTTTAATTCATTGATTTGCCGATATACTTGATTTTCGATTTATTCTAGCATTTTTTTAGATATAAATGTGGTATTTAATGCGAAAATATAATGACGTCGTAAGCTGGTATTTCGTACAATATTGAACCAACAAAACTATGTAATTAAAAATTGTATTGTGAACCTGATTGAAAAAGAGTAACCTATGGAGTTTCTTGCTCGTTCTTCTACATAGGAATCTACACTTTGGAATGAGCAAATAGATCACTTTAAATTATTTATTGACGTTCAAAGTACCTTCCTGGGTGCTGACTCTTGAAACCAATCTCAATGTCAATGCAATTTCAATCCAATAAAATCTCAATATTTATACAACACTATACAACCACAATCGTAGCTGTTACAATAGCATTCAGAGTACGGAATATACCTCTAAAGACAAACTCAATACCATTTAGTTCATTCAATATCCACGCAATACGGATGCAATGGGTGATAGTGTTCCAACTCAAGAGTACGACACAATACCAATGTCGATCGATCGGAATTGGATTCAAGAGTAAGTCCCCTGGTCTAATAGAAATAAATGATTTTGACTTTGTTTAATACTTCATGTAAGAAACACGACATCGGCCATTTTAGTCTGTATTCGAGGCGAACCATTTTAAAGTTATACTCACTTGATTGCGACCGGGTATATGGTACCGCCGACCTCGAAGCTGCCCTTCTTGAACTGCATGACGGACGTGTTGTTTATGCAAGTACCCTCAGGGAAGATCAGGATCGGAGGGTTGTCTGGGACTGATATGTGTTCTTTTAATCTGAAAATAAAATAACAAAATAATATAACATCACGCCTTTTTACCCCCGAAGCGGTAGGCAGAGGTGCACATTTCGGCATTTAATGCCACTGTACAATGTAACACCCACTTTTCACTATTTATGTTAGAAGTCCCATGTAATAGAGGGTGAGCCTATTGCCATATACCGGACACATCTCCAGACCCCTTTATAAAAAACCCAGTAATACTTTGCCCGACCCGGGAATCGAACCCGAGACCCCTTGCCCAGCAGTTGCGACCACTCGGCCAACGAGGCAGTCAGAATAAAAGAGGCAAAATAAATATAATTTATTAATCGACTTAAAAAAGAAAGACTTCTTGGGAGAGCAGAGCTTCGGCATGAATGGGCCGGCTCGATCAGAGCGATACCACGCCCTCACAGAAAACCGACGTATGAGTGAGGTTACCGGAGGCCCGATTACCGAATCCCCAACAATTCTCAAACTCCTAATCCCCAAAAGGCCGGTAACGCACTTCTTTTAAGGAACGAGCCCGCCACAGCCTCCCAAAACCGCTGCAACTCCTGTACACCAGGATCTACAGTAGATACGACTATGCAACCACCGGAACATTAAAGTCCGGCGCGTCCCAGGGACATGAGTAACTGTCTTGGTTCCCGCAACGAAATGAATCAGAAGATATTATAAGAGAAGAAAAAAACGGTTTTTCCACTTCCCTCGGTGAATTACTGCAGGAGACAGAATGATTTTTTATGGCATAAGCCGGTAAACGAGCAGACAGATCGCCTGATGGCAAGCAATCGGCGTCGCCCGTGGACACCGAGTCGTTACAAGTGCGTTACCGGCCTTTTGGGAATTGGGAATTTGAGGATTGTGGAGGATTCAGGAATTGGGGAGACTGGGGGAGGGGGGGCCCTCTGGTAACCTCACTCACACGACGAAACACAACAAGCGTTGTTTCACGTCGGTTTTCTGCTCGGCCGTGGTATCACTCCGGTCGAGCCCGCCCAAGCGTGCCGAAGCATGGCTCTCCCACACTTAAATTAAGCCTAAAGGCACACGGCAAATCTGTGACGCATTTATATCACCTCTAGAATTGCGGGTGTCCATAGGCGACGCCGATTGATTACCATCAGGTGATCCGTCTGCTCGTTTACCGGCTTATACCATAAAACTGATTTAACTTCAAGTTAATATAAAAAAATAGTTCACCTTTTAGCAACAGCATGTCTGTCTTTGACCTCTGACCTCTCGAACCAGATGTGAGGTGATGCTCTCGCCAGCGCCCTCTGCAGAATGCCTAGGAAACCGTTGTGTCTTTGACCAATCTGAAATATTTCGTTTTCCATTAAAAAACAAAATTTTAACAAGAAATATCTCGACGAATTGAGAATCTCCTTTTATTTTGAACACATAAAATAACATCACGCCTTTTCGCCGTAGGGGTAGGCAGAGGTGCACATTACGACACTTAATGCCACTGTACAATGTAACACCTACTTTTCACTATTTATATTATAAGTCCCATGTAATAGGGGGTAAGAAAAATACAGACCGGTGCAATTGCCAAAAAACAAATTATAACCTAATAAGACAACCTGGGAGTCGAACCCAATCGGAATAAACAGATACTAAGAAGCACTTAATCAAAAATAATTTTTATCTAAAAATGTAAATTACATAACATCATAAACTATGTAATATTCTATAATCATAGTATGTCACATTTAAAGCTATTATTGAAGAAATAGTAAAACTTCGAACGACTCAGTCGGTATCGAACCTGAGACGCCTGAGACTAGGAACGCCAGTCAATAAGACATACGACATTTAAATTCAATTATAATAAAACCACTTAGGCATAATTAAAATAAAACTTAAATACAAACCTGGGACTCAAACCCAATACTGAAGACTGCATATACTAAACCTATTACATTTACATGTCAACCCCGGGACAGACACAAACAAATAACATTCATACATTTACCCAATAATAATGATAAAAATATTTCACTACGATAACACCATGCCTTGTAAAATCATCTCCCGTTTTCACCAAGCACCTTAATTTTAAGGAATCCCCTAAGCTAAAATAAGATAGGTGACACTTAACGATGGTTTGGTTTTCACCAACCCAGAGGTTAACTAAGACTCTCCTGAACATACAGCTACAGAGGGGTTCTTCCTCATGAGCAGCGTGCGCGGTCGCGTCAAGAACCTCATTGGCGCCTCTGATTATTTTTGGCGCCTCCGTCACTCTATGTACAGTTGTGCACGCGTGTCTCGCGGCGCCCCTCTGTAACCTGGCGCCCGGCACTTGTCTAGTTTGCGTTAGGAATAATACGGCTCTGGGAACTCAGGGACGGATTAAACTTAGAGAGCGCCCTAGGCAAGCACCTTATTGGCGCCCCTAATTCATTTTAGCGTCCCTTATTTATTTGGCGCCTTCACCACTTTATGGGTATTTGAGCACGCGCGTCTCGCGGCGCCCCTCTGTAACCAGGCGCCCAGTACTTGTCTAGTTTGCCTTAGGTATATCCGGCTCTGGCTTGGTGAAAACTAGTAAAAAAACAATTGTCGCACATGAGAACGGGCGCGTCTATAGGGCGCGTGTGATTCGCGACACAGATCCCATTTTTCGGTTTATAATGCGCGTCGTGGTATGTGATAGGAAGTTAATGGCCGTTTTTATTAACTACCTCTCATCTCTCAACTAAGAGTTAGTTATTTAGCGCGAGGTAACACCTAAACTAACCCCTTAACTCAGAAACGGATTAAACTTCGAGAGCGCCCTAGGCAAGCACCTCATTGGCGCCCCTAATTCATTTTGGCGTCACCCTCTGTCACCTGGCGCCCTTCTGTAACCTGGCGCCCTATACACTTGCCTAATTTATGGCTCTGGCTTGGTGAAAACGAGCACGAAATATAGCTAGAAGGTTACTAGTAAAAAAACTATACAAAACAACTTACCAAGGAATAACAATTGTCGCACATGAGAACGAGCGCGTCTATAGGGCGCGTGTGATTCGCGACACAGATCCCATTTTTCGGTTTATAATGCGCGTCGTGGTATGTGATCACGGCTGATATACAGCGTGATAGGAAGTTAATGGCCGTTTTTATTAACTACCTCTCATTTCTCAACTAAGAGTTAGTTATTTAGCACGAGGTAACACCTAAACTAACCCTTTAACTCAGAAACGGATTAAACTTCGAGAGCGCCCTAGGCAAGCACCTCATTGGCGCCCCTAATTCATTTTTGCGTCACCCTCTGTCACCTGGCGCCCTTCTGTAACCTGGCGCCCTATACACTTGCCTAATTTACGGCTCTGGCTTGGTGAAAACGGGCACGAAATATAGCAACTAGTAAAAAAAAACTATACAAAACAACTTACCAAGGAATAACAATTGTCGCACATGAGAACGAGCGCGTCTATAGGGCTCGTGTGGTTCGCGACACAGATCCCATTTTTCGGTTTATAATGCGCGTCGTGGTATGTGATCACGGCTGATATACAGCGTGATAAAAAGTTGAAGCACATTACAGAGACGGCGTAATTTATGCGTTGTTTCGTTTTCCCGTCCGGTAACGTCCCGATACACGCTGTGCAAGCTATTAACCACCAAACCTAGAAAGCCGTATGATATGATGGGTTTGTGACGTCATTCGTTTTGATTGAAAATTTTCTCTTTTACACGTATCGAGGCATTAGTACGAGTTTGTTTTACGTTAAAAGTAGTCGAAACGAGACTGCCTTCGGCGCTCTGATTAGTTAGTTCATTGGAGTCGGCCAATCAGGGTGCTTACTCTTGAAACCAATCTCAATGTCAATGCAATTTCAATCCAATCAAATCTCAATAATTATTCATTGTCAAAACTATACAACCACAATCGTAGCTGTTACAATAGCATTCAAAGTACGGAATAAGCCGTCAAACATAATTAAGATATATCAATATATCGGTCAGTTATACTAATCAAAACTTAAACAGAGAGAGAGAGAGAGTAGAATTTTCAATCAAAACGTTCACATAAAATAATGCTGTTGGACAAACACAAATGGTTATTTAGAAATAACATATTTAATGAGGTGGTGGAATGAGGTGCACATATAATGTAACACCCACCAGTTATGATATGAGTTCCATGTAATAGAGGACAATTTTATACCCAAATAAGTACTTTCAAAACTTAAAATAGTTAATAACACACTCGGGAATTGAACCCGAAACTTCTTGCTTGGTAGTCTGTAGTAGTAAATAATAATTAGGAATAAGAAGAAATATTAGTAGATAAATAAATATTGATATATAAATATAAATGTTAAATAATATAAAAAATATGAAATTAAAGGCGTATAAAGGTAAAGAAAGTTGGACAACACAAAGACGGACAAACATGTAGACAGCCATATTTATTTTCCAATAATGAATTTAATTAAAAAAAATTAAACAAAACTGACGTTAAACCCAACAATTAACGTTAAACCGAATTCAATACAAACTTTCCAGTCGATTCCATCCAGGCAACGTCGACAATGTATCACCCAATATGTCCTCCAATCCAGATGTTCTACCCAGACAACGTTTCACCCAAAACAGACACAATGTATCACCCAAAACTGGTCACAAATATTAATTACCCAACTTATAATAAAACAACAATATTGACACGTTTTACGTAAACGTATCACCCAAAAATTTAAATGACAAGTCCAATTATGATGTCTTATGGTCAGTCGAAATGACCAATCTATTGCTTACTAGAGATAGAATTTTGACACATTCAGTATGGAGCTTATTTTTTATGCTACGAGCAGAAGGATCACCTGATGGTAAGCAATTGGCGTCGCTCATGGACACACGTGAACACCAAAGGCGTTACAAGTGCGTTACCGGTTTTTTGGGTAATAGGATTGTTTTGGAATCAGGGATTGCAGAGATTGGAGATGGAAGAGGGGGGGAGGTAATTGGACCTCCAGTTACCTCACTCATACGACGAAACACAACACTTCGGTTGTTTCACTATGCTGTACTGGTCAGCCGTGGTATCACTCCGGTCGAGACGGCCGATTTGTGCCGAAACACGGCTCTCCCACACTCTAATCCCACGCTTATGTCAAAATTCTATCTTTAAAAAGCAAATCAACTAAGAAAACATGTTAATAAATGACACTGTAATCTAAACGTTTCGCCCAAAACAGACACATTGTGCAACCCAAAACAGACACGAACGTTCTACCCAAATAACTCCAGACTGTATCACCCAGAAAATACCAGAAAACGTCCTACCAAAGAGAAACACGTTTTGATGCTTAGAACTCCAACATCTATTGGACTGGTGTGATTCGCGACACAGAAACCATTAGCTCTTGGCCTGTACTGCTCATCATGGAACCTTGCGTGGATGGAAAGGCCCCTGATGATCACCCTGATGCTGGTTTTGTAGGAGATCTTTCCAAGTTTGTTGCGAAGACGAACGAAGGGTACCAAACTGACGATCCAAGTTGTGAAAACCATTACTAGTACCTGATTAGAAGTAATTTCAATCAATAACATATTGTTGGTGATAAATAAACTTGTAGTTTGACTATTGGGCAGTATTTTCCACGGATTATGGACGGCTGCAACTGTAGCGTAGGTAACCTACGACCAGGGCCGTCGTTAGACTACGCTGGCGCCCTTGGGCACATAACAAAAAGGACCCTTTTGGAATGTCTTCTTTGTTTTTTTATAACGTTGCCCCACACTAGGATTTTCTCCTGTATCATGTGTGGATGCATTTACAAACACAGGACACCCAGACTTGAATCAACAATTTGTGGAGCTCACTAAGATTTGCTCCGTGCGGGGATCGAACCCGGTACAAGTTGCGCAACATGTATCGGGTGTCCATCGTAGAAATTGTCGATCCTTCGGGGCCCCCTGAGGATGGGGCCTTGTGCACGGGCCCCCATGGGCCTTATGGCAGTGTTGGGCATTAATTAATTAATTTATCAATTATCTTGTTAATTGACTAAAAAAGTAATTGCAATTAAATTAATCACGAATAAATTAATCGCAATTAAACTTTTAATTGCACCTTTCAATTAAATTAATTTAAATAATGTATGTCAATTGTAACTCACAATTAAAGTAATTGCAATTAACTTTTTTAGTTGTTTCATGAAACAATTAAAACTAACAATCAACTTATAATAATAAATAAAATATCCATATTCAGCCGCATCCAGTGAGACTGGAAGCCAAACATAGACCAAAAATATTTGAGAAAAGGCTCTGAGGAGGATGATGATGTGTTTGTATTTATGTATAACAATGTTGCATTGATAATTATTTCTACAGCGTTCGTAGGTAGGTACAACAAAAATATCAAGTCGTAACGTGTTTATTTTGTAGGCCTCTCGCTTCTCACTCGCGCACACGACACGTAGGTTCTCACTCAATTATTACAAGAGATTTTAAATTGTCATTGTCTGTCTAATCATGTTCAATTAAAGGTATTGATGATTATTTGAATAGGTCTTTTATTTGTTGCCAACATAATATGAATAGGTGGGGGGCACTATTCTACTACCCGGAGCCATACCGGTATATTAAATATTTATATATACCGGCTGTATATTATGCAGCAGAATTTTTGTAATTGTTAGTTTTAATTAAAATTCACTAAACAATTGAAAATTAATTAATTGTTAATTGTAGTAAATCACAACTAACAATTAATTAATTGTTAATTGTTACTACTACAGTTAACAATTACATAATTGTTAATTGTATTTTTCCAAAATTAAAATTGATTAATTGTTAGTTGTTGTGGTTATATTTAGCAATTAATTAATTGTTAATCTTTAATTGTTCTTGCAATTACAATTTGCCCAACACTGCAGGGAGGTAATTGGACCTCCAGTTACCTCACTCATACGACGAAACACAACACTTCGGTTGTTTCACTATGCTGTACTGGTCAGCCGTGGTATCACTCCGGTCGAGACGGCCGATTTGTGCCGAAACACGGCTCTCCCACACTCTAATCCCACGCTTATGTCAAAATTCTATCTTTAAAAAGCAAATCAACTAAGAAAACATGTTAATAAATGACACTGTAATCTAAACGTTTCGCCCAAAACAGACACATTGTGCAACCCAAAACAGACACGAACGTTCTACCCAAATAACTCCAGACTGTATCACCCAGAAAATACCAGAAAACGTCCTACCAAAGAGAAACACGTTTTGATGCTTAGAACTCCAACATCTATTGGACTGGTGTGATTCGCGACACAGAAACCATTAGCTCTTGGCCTGTACTGCTCATCATGGAACCTTGCGTGGATGGAAAGGCCCCTGATGATCACCCTGATGCTGGTTTTGTAGGAGATCTTTCCAAGTTTGTTGCGAAGACGAACGAAGGGTACCAAACTGACGATCCAAGTTGTGAAAACCATTACTAGTACCTGATTAGAAGTAATTTCAATCAATAACATATTGTTGGTGATAAATAAACTTGTAGTTTGACTATTGGGCAGTATTTTCCACGGATTATGGACGGCTGCAACTGTAGCGTAGGTAACCTACGACCAGGGCCGTCGTTAGACTACGCTGGCGCCCTTGGGCACATAACAAAAAGGACCCTTTTGGAATGTCTTCTTTGTTTTTTTATAACGTTGCCCCACACTAGGATTTTCTCCTGTATCATGTGTGGATGCATTTACAAACACAGGACACCCAGACTTGAATCAACAATTTGTGGAGCTCACTAAGATTTGCTCCGTGCGGGGATCGAACCCGGTACAAGTTGCGCAACATGTATCGGGTGTCCATCGTAGAAATTGTCGATCCTTCGGGGCCCCCTGAGGATGGGGCCTTGTGCACGGGCCCCCATGGGCCTTATGGCAGTGTTGGGCATTAATTAATTAATTTATCAATTATCTTGTTAATTGACTAAAAAAGTAATTGCAATTAAATTAATCACGAATAAATTAATCGCGATTAAACTTTTAATTGCACCTTTCAATTAAATTAATTTAAATAATGTATGTCAATTGTAACTCACAATTAAAGTAATTGCAATTAACTTTTTTAGTTGTTTCATGAAACAATTAAAACTAACAATCAACTTATAATAATAAATAAAATATCCATATTCAGCCGCATCCAGTGAGACTGGAAGCCAAACATAGACCAAAAATATTTGAGAAAAGGCTCTGAGGAGGATGATGATGTGTTTGTATTTATGTATAACAATGTTGCATTGATAATTATTTCTACAGCGTTCGTAGGTAGGTACAACAAAAATATCAAGTCGTAACGTGTTTATTTTGTAGGCCTCTCGCTTCTCACTCGCGCACACGACACGTAGGTTCTCACTCAATTATTACAAGAGATTTTAAATTGTCATTGTCTGTCTAATCATGTTCAATTAAAGGTATTGATGATTATTTGAATAGGTCTTTTATTTGTTGCCAACATAATATGAATAGGTGGGGGGCACTATTCTACTACCCGGAGCCATACCGGTATATTAAATATTTATATATACCGGCTGTATATTATGCAGCAGAATTTTTGTAATTGTTAGTTTTAATTAAAATTCACTAAACAATTGAAAATTAATTAATTGTTAATTGTAGTAAATCACAACTAACAATTAATTAATTGTTAATTGTTACTACTACAGTTAACAATTACATAATTGTTAATTGTATTTTTCCAAAATTAAAATTGATTAATTGTTAGTTGTTGTGGTTATATTTAGCAATTAATTAATTGTTAATCTTTAATTGTTCTTGCAATTACAATTTGCCCAACACTGCCTTATGGTAAAGACGGTATTTATTTATTTATTTCTTCTTCACAAAATACATCAGTGAATGGCGGACTTAATGCCTTAAGGCATTCTCTTACAGTCAACCATAGGGAAGTGCAGAGAAATGAAGTGGTATTGCTTATAACTAAAGATTTCCGACATGATATTCACTAAAATCAACATAAGTCTCTTTATTAAAAGAATATTGAATGCGGACACGTCCGGGGATCGAACACAAGTTCTCGACGACCAATCTTCATACTTAAATGGCTGACGCACGACGTTGAAATACTCAAAGTCACTCAATTTTTAAGTCGTGCTTAAATATGGAATTCTTTGCCAGAGGCTGTATTTCCTGAAGGGTATAACCTGGGTGTCTTCAAGGCCCGAGTGAATAAGTTGCTTATGGGACGACGTGCTCCATCGTAGACCGCATCATCGGTTATCACCAAGCGAGATAGTTGATAACCGTTCAAATACAAATATGTATATACAGGGTAAAATTTTGTAATACCACCTGAAGGGCAAGTACTCTTAATACTTAAGACTAATAAAAAATAAGGGTTGATAGTAGAAGGGTGAAAATTGAGGATTGTATGTATTTTTTATGTTGTATCATAAAAAATAGAAATTAAAAATTTTGTCTAAAAATAAATAAAATTAGGGGTGGACTACCCCTTACATTTAGGGGGATGAAAAATAGATGTTGGCCGATTCTCATAGATACCGGATAAGCAGAAAAACATTTCATCAAAATCGGTCAAGCCGTTTCGGAGGAGTATGGCAACGAAAACTGTGACACGAGAATTTTATATATTAGGTATAATTATAGTAAATACTTAATATAAGTTTGCACTGTGTACTTTTATTGCATCGATCGTTCATTGTTTTCCTTTCATTAAATTTATGAAGTTGTTAGAGAGATTTCATCCTTATTGACCCTAACAATCGATGCAATAAATGTACAGAGTGCAACTTTTACAGGTTTTTGTCGGTTCGATGACCATGTGCGGCAAGCGAATTTTAAAAATATTTGTATGCCATTTTGTTTCTTTTAAAAAATAAAGTAATGTTTTCTTTGAGTAAAATTTTATATCTAAAGTATTAAGAGTACTTCCCTTCGGGTGGCATTACAACATTCCACCCTGTATATACATATATAAGTATTTGATAAGCCAACTTTTGACCACTATCTCGCCTGGTAAGCGATCATGCGGTCTACGATGGAGCACGTCGTCCCATAAGCAACCTATACACTCGGGCCTTGAAGACACCCAGGTATATATACCCTTCAGGAAACACAGACTCTGGCAAAAAATTCCATATTTAAGCGCGACTTAAAATTGAGTGACTAATGCCGGAATACTGAAACGTTACTCAATTTTAAGTCGTGCTCAAATATCGTGCCATCTCTGTCATTTTACTAAGAATTTGTAGAGATAGAACTATACTTAAGCACGACTTAAAATTGAGTAGCGTTTGAGTATTCCGACATGAGTATTCCACCCCGTATAGTCCTTCACTACAAATTCTTTTTAACTCCGTCATTACAACTTAAAATTGAGTACACTTTCAGTATCTGAACGCGAAAGATTTATATGGCTTATAGATGGAATATTATTTACATAACAATACATTAATAGAAGAAGAAGAATGGGTAGACAGAAGATAGAAAAGAAAAATGAAATAGAAATAGCAAAGAACGAAATAATTATTAGAAATAAAAACATAGATAAAAAATATTATTAAAAAAAAAACGTTTTATAAATATTCAATCAATATGATTGTCTCGGGAATCGAACCCGTCATAAAATATCAGTCGGTCTATAAGACCATAAAATAACTATGTAGTTTAAATAGTCTTTTTTTTTTTTTTAAGGGGGGAAAATCATCGAATGACTGCCCCCGCCTGGGTGAGGCGGGAGGGAGTGTCAGACTCTTACTGACTAAAAACCACCCCGTTCCTTCTCCTGCACGTCGAGCCGGAGCCCCGGTTACCCGTTAGGTTCTCCGCGACAGTTTAAATAGTCTAGGAGTCTCCTAAAACTAAGTCTTATGATTTATCAGAATTACTTAAAAAGACTACAAGACCATAAAGATATAGTCCAAGAGCCCTCGTCAAGATTTTAAAATTTTTCTATACAACTTAGTCTAAGAGACCGGTTGAGGATAACTTCAGCCATCTTAAACTTCACAAAATTTAGTCTAGGAGTCTCCTACACCAAATTTATGGTAATTATTTTGGACAATATTATGTGAAACTCACCCCTATGACAAATATCATTATTCTGAGAGGTAGGAGGAACATATATCGGACTACGAAACCCATCGCCCATATAATTGTGAGGCGCCACGTTAAGAACTCGTATTGTCTGGAAAAGAGAGAGAAAAACAATGAATAAATAAGGTATTTTACTCAGAAAATAATTTTACACTTTTTGGCCGGCGCGGGAATCGAACCAGCACCTCGAAGCACAGCAGCCGGCCATCCAAACACTGCACCAACCATGTATATGTACTATAACAATCTGCTAAGTACCACTTATTTTTTAATTTTTTACCGACATCAAAAAAGGAGGAGGTATCATAATGATATAACTCAATGTCGACAAAAGTGTAAATTAGGTACCTATTAAGGTTTTAATGAATAATTTTGTATGGAACTTATGGCACCGACTTCTAACCTATCAGTGGGTGGGTAACCTACCAGTACTAATAATAGTTATTATATGCTTTTTAATTTTGACTTTTTGTTTGTTATTCTTTTTTGGTTTTTTGAAGTCGATTTTTGTACACATCAAAATCGGTTCAGCGGTTTAGGAGTTAGGAATACCAACCGTTCACTATAAACATGTTTAATTTTCTCAATAAGGCTAAGGACTCCTTAGTCCTTAGCCTTATTCTTCTGGCTCGAATTTTGCGGGCAGCGGGGCGGCGGCGGCGGCGCGGTTGGCACTGCTCGACTAGAGTGCACCAACTGTGCAACGCCGCTGTGTTTTCGAAAACCAGGTCATTTGATTTTACGTATAAGATCCTGTCGCTCCCGAGCCACCGCCGCCGCCGCCCCGCTGCTCGCAAAACTAACTCTAAAATATCTATGTCTCACCCATAACCCATCAAAATCAGCGTAGTCGTTTAGCAGTAAAAGCACAACAAACGAACATTCACCTTTACAAAATTAATTAAAACAGTCGACTTGGAAACAATCGCAGTTGATTGCACGATAACAAACAACCACCTATGGAGGATATCATAATGTATTATTTTAATCCAATTATCTTCAAGATTATAAATTATATATTTGTTCTAGAATTGTCTCTTTCTCATATATTTGTTCT